TATAAAATCACTGCTGATAAAATTTGCAGCTGATATAAAAATTGGCAGAGTATAAAGAAAGATGAAGATATATTATTAACATCAAGGGATACAGAACACTTAAAGCCTGCATAATCAACCTGTGTTTTAATACATTTAAGTTCTAGATCATTCATGTAGGATCAAAGAATGTAGGCTGTACATACTTGGCAATAATATTGTATTCTGGAAGCAGAGATTCTGAAAAAGCTTAGGTAACCATGAAAGATTACAAACTAAATGTGACCTTCTAATATAATGTCTGGCAAAATGGGCCAACATACTTGGATGTATTAACAAAGAAACATAAAAAAAGATCAAAGAAGGTGTTGCGATCTCTGTACATAGCAATAGGGCAGTAGTTCTCAACCTTTTTAGACTCAGAAAATGCCAGCTCTTGGTGTTCGTTTGTTTGTATTTGTTTGCATTACAGAAAAATAACAGGGTAATTCTGCTGCTACAAATGCTTTGATACTATGTATTCCTATTTGCAATCCCCAGGTTTATCTTGTGAATCATGTATGCTTGCTTAACAGTGTTAATATTGCATGACACTTCACAGCACCCTTGACAAGATCTCCAGGCATCCCAAGGGGCCACTGCATCCTGGTTGAGAGTCACTGTACTAGTGACTGCTCAACTGGAAGTTGCATCCACTTCTCATGTCCACACTGTTGAAATTATGATGAAAAATTGGAGAGGCTTAGGAAAGAGCCACACTTGATCGGACGCTGGAAAATCTTTCTTACTCCAAGAGACTAAAGCAGCTCACACTTTTTAGCTTAGCAAACCCAGTGTTAACAGGAATGGTCTGTAAATCTCTGTATTGGAAGAATGTTTCTGATCTAAAAGACTCTTTAATCCACTGCAAGGAACTGCAAGCCCCAGGAAGGTCATACAAATGTATCCAAAAGTGCTGGCCAACTTCCCATTTCCATATTGCTATGTGGGAAAAGGGTCCCAGTTACAGTATATCCCAGCTAGACATGAAAGAGCTCAAAAGAAACTTGGAAAAGCTGAGATTCTCTGATCTAGCAGAAAAAATTATTATGAAATCCAGTGGGTGGAAATCCAAGACAGCAAAATTCAAAATAGAAATAAGATTTGCATCTTATGGTTTAACACAAAACCAGAGAGCCATGAGGAAAAAATGAAAACTTACCAAACTATATAGAAAACCCTCTACCACTTGGAATATTTAAACTTAAACTATAGTTAAAAAAATACAGTCCAAATCATATTTGGGATAGAGCAGGAATCTTGGCATGTAATGTATGGGCTGGGTTTTATAGCATCTTACTACATAATCCTAACAGACACTTCAGACCTTAAAAATATATACATTAGTTGAGAAAGATGTGTCTTTTCAGGAAAATCTAAATTTTTTGGAACTAGCCCTGAGCCACAGACTACTCCTCTATAAAAACAGTCAAGCTATCATCTGGAATTTCATCTACCCAGAAGTGCCCCTGACAACAATGTAAACCACAATGTAAACAGCCTGTATAAATTAATCTGCACATAAGAATTTTCCTTTAAATGTTGATAGAACTCGTTTCTATCACTTAAAAACACTTCCTTCCCAAATGCTAATGAAACATACCACAGCTGAAATGGTAGTATTAGCCCTAAATGCTAGTATTACAAAAGCCAGCATCCATCCCAAATTTGGGGCTCAAGATTAGTTTCTATCAGGTCAAAAGAAAGCAGAGTGCAGTCTCAGGTGGCCTAGGTCCTCTTTCCTCTTTGCCTACTCATAGCAAAACTAAGAAAGCATACTGCAGTCACCTGAATTTAAAACCCTGGACTTAAAGTAAATGTATTCTATATGAAGTTACAGAAATTGCAAGCATTAATTTAACAGCACTATTTAAGTTGCTAGAATAGCATCTGAATATATAAGTAAGCATGTATAACTACAAACTAAACAAATCTAACATGAATTAATTTAGATAATTACATTTCATGAGCTTTTTTATATAATTATGACATCATGTAAAATAGACAACATCCTTACACAACAAGTTGTACCTTAAAAGTGATTTTTGGAAAGGTTTGGGGGAAAATATTTTAAAAACCTGCTCAAGATTTCAAATCACTATCATATGTGCACTAAAGTGTCATAAATATTTTCATACTGTGTCACAAAATACTCAGAAATCCCAATCTTTCATTTACTCTCCAGCCCTGATCTCAAGGCTCCATGTTTCCCTTTAAGAGCTGATGATGTCACAAATCTCTATAATTTACTTAAAGAGAGGCACACTCCCTGGTCAGTGATTATATAATGAGAATGAAGGACTCCCAGTCTAACCAGCTGACAGTATACTTATTGGCAGTCTCAGAAGATAGGTCAAGATCTGAATGGGCAGTATGAATGAACTATTTCTCCATTTGTATTCTGCATACAGCAAAAGACAATGGTAAAGCAGTTTAAAGAAGTTTGTCCTGCCTTTTCTTTCTGGCTCTATCCATCTGACATCAATGGGTCTTCAAAATAGGAATTGGGCATCTAAATCCCATTTTGGATCTGGGCCTAACCTGTTTGTTACCACAAAGCATGCACTAGTGATCAAAATATGCTGTGCATTTTCTAAACACAATTATGCTAATACAATAAACATGTTATTAAGATAGTCTAAAACTCACTTTGGCCTATTTACAAAGCATATCTATATGTCAGTGTATCACAGAGAGGAAAGATATTTCTTAATTCTAATTAATTCTGCAGATGATAACCTCATTCTGTCACCATTAGTTCAAAGATATTCAAAAGTATGTGTTGAAACAAGCACGTTTACTCTCCCATTCAAACCCTGCCTTTCATATATACACAGTCTAGAGGTCATAGGATTGCATATGAACTCTCATACATATTAAGATGAATTAACACATTAGGAGCATCCAGAACTAGCTGATATCCAGTGTCTCCCCAGATCACCCTTACCATCAGAACTCAAAGCTACAAAGCATGTTTATAATAGGACCCTGGGTCTTGATTTTTCTGGAGTACAGAATAGTGAAAATATTCCTATTAAAAGCCAGTTAACTCAGCCACTAAGAAATGGAGATTTTTCCCTCTAAATATTTCAGTGCTTGCTTTTGGTTCAGGCAGTACATTTTGTGTTAATAAACAACAGACATATATTTAAATCTCAAAAGTGTTTTTAAATGAAGTGCAGCATTTTATAAACGTTAGTTGCTGTGTGCAGAAAGGAAATCTTGTTCATATTCACCTCCTTCCTTTGGGTATTTTGTTATTATGATAATCCTAGCTTCAAGAGAAATCAGCTGAAATCAAATACTGCAGCATAGACTGAATTAAGGAAACTGTATTTTCTAGCAAATACTGCGCTTTTGCTATCAAAGCCAGTGTTGTCATTCAGAAAATTCCCCATAATCCTTTTCATTATCATTTCATAATTCATTGGTATTCCTTTTCTTTGGAAAACTAATGACTACCATAGGCTGATGAGGTCTACGCTCCCTTTCAACATACCGGATGCATTAACACAAACAATGCTACTGGGGCACGTCTTATTATTCACAAATCTTCAGCGATATTAGCCTTCCTTGCTTTTTGCCTTGCTAAAAAAGAAAGAACTATGCTAAACACAAAAAAGACAGTTTGATGCAAATGAAAAGCAGCAGCTCTAGAACAAAAGGCTCCCTAAATAATTTCTGGATCCAATGAAAACATCCTGTGCTTGCTTGATCTCAATTGATTTCTGTCAGATTGTGGGGACCAGAGTGCAGGAAGGCAGGGGTTTTCTCAAGACAAATTACAGCAGGGAAGATTTTCAGTAGCCCTTCACTTTACCAGGGTTGTCTTGGAAATGCATGGCAGGCAGTAGCATAACACAAGAAGTGACTGCCATCTTCAGGAAAGGTTCAATACTGAGGCAGCAGTTATTTGCTGCAAACACACGCTTATGGAAGTTGTTGTTGCGTCCAAAACCAAATGACATTTAGGGGGAAATAGCCCCCTTTCCCCTCCCCTTCTCTTCCAAGCCATCACATCAATGTTACAGAGGTGAAGAGAATGAAAAATTCCTCCAGTGAAATCTGACAAGTCTTCCCTGCTCTGTGCCCTCCCACGACCCCAAACACACAGGTCTGGAGCACAGGATGCCACAGCACTGGTGTGTGCGCATCTGCCCAAACAGGCAGAAGCTGCAAATTTAACTCTTTGTGACACCAGCTTGGCTTTCCCCATCCTGCTGGCCTGGCTTCCTGTGCCCCCCGACCGGTGCCTGCATTCCTTAACTGGCCTGTGCCTGTGCCAATGTGTGCGTGCGTGTGTCAGTATCTCAGAGTGTGTGTCTGTATGTTTCCGTGTGTGTCTGTGTGCATGCATGTCAGTCTCAGCATGTGTGCATGTGCGCATCAGTGTCTCAGTGTGTGCGCGCATGTGCGCATCAGTGTCTCAGTGTGTGTGCGTGTGTGCCAGTGTGTGCATGTCAGTGCCTGTGTGTGCGTGCATGTGTCAGTGTCTCAGTGTGTGTATATATGTGCGTGTACGTGTCGGTGTCCCTGTCTGTGTGTGCACGCATCAGTGTCTCTATGAGTGTATGTGCATGCATGTCAGTGCCTCAATGTGTGCGTGCGCACATCAGAGAGTGTCTCAGTGTGTGGCTGCATGTGTCGGTGTGTGTGCACGCACGCGTGTCAGTCTCAGTGTGTGTCTGCATGCACACGTGTCAGAGTATCAGTGTGTGCGCGTGTGTCAGTGCATGTGCGGCACACGCAGCTGCTATGACTCCCTCCTGGCCGGATCCCCTGGAAGCGGGCGGGGAGGGCACGGCCCGGGGGCGCAGCGCGGGAAGGGGGTACCCCCGCATCCCACCACCGCGTTTAGCCCCAAACACCGGGGTGGAGGGGAACCCGGTGTGCATCTGTTGCTGAATAAACACAGGCTCCGCGCCGGGGGTCGCAGCCAGCAGCCCCTCCTCTGGCCCCGCCGCCGGCCGGCCGGCCCCTACCTCGGTGTCGTAGAGGCGCAGGTCGAGGAAGTAGGGGTGGAGCAGGGACTCGTTGCGGATCTGGTCCATGGCCAGCTGCACGGCGGGCAGCACGCCGCGCCCGATCTTGCTCTTCTGGTCCTCCTCGGCCGGGCTGAGCGGCATCAAGCCCATGATGGAGATCGGCGCGGCGGCGGTGGCGGCGTCGGCCGGCAGCCCCCCGGCCGCCCC